GGCTAGTCCCGCCCCTCAAGTGCCTTTCTGCCTGTGAGTAACCAGGCTCTTTCTCAGCGCAGAATTGAACAGAGGACGAGTCTGGCAGGCCAGGCTATCAATTGTATTTGGTCTCTGAAGAATGTGTACTTGTTGGAAATCACAGATGTCAGAATTGTTCCCTGTACAAGTTTTGCACCGTTCTCAGGGGTGATTTGGTGCCACCTTTCTTTGTGGATCCTCACCAAATCATTGGTTTCGTGGTTTATGTTTGGCAACTGGAATCTTTTGCTCCTTCCATGTTTTAAGTGATTAAGGTCTGGAAACTGACTAGGTCACACCAAGACCAAGTCCCTAAAATGTTTCTTGACTGTGTCTTTTGTGTCATTGACATGCTAGAATATCCACTCATGATACATTTCAGTGTCTTGGCAGAAGGTAGGAGGTTCTCATTTGATAATACGTGGCTCTGTCTCACAACACTTTCACCCAGTCCTCCCCGTGTAATGTCCAAAAGGGCCAATTTTCACCTATAAATTGACCAACATAGTGACCTTTCATCTACAGCATAATTCCACCTTCTGTGTGGCCTTCTAAATCCAGAAGGTTCTGCTCAGTGCGTGTTGACATTCCACGAAGACAAAACATTCAAATAGACACTCTGTCCCAAGGTCTACACTATCTGTGAAAGTCAGACGTCAACATTTTTCACTCTGAATAAGTGAAGACTCCACGATGTTATAGTTAAATAATCATATGTGATGAATGAACAAGATGTTTACATCAAATGTTTGAATAATCTGTGTTTAAATCAATGAATTTAAAATAAATATTGCTCTTACAACGATCCATTTATATCACAAATCTGTATATGTTTGATTTAACAAGTGAATCATTGTTTACACTCATACATATTACATAAGAGTTTGAACATTCTCATTCACAGTGTTAAAAACATCTTTGTGTCTGCAAGAAGGCGTGGCTTTCTGAGGGATGTTGGTAAATTCTCCGAAACGTGTCAAATTCTGATTTGCCCAACTTGGCCAAAAATCATAACAAAGTAGTTTAATAAAACAGGATTTACTTTCCGATTAATTCAGTTTCTCGCTGACCCTCGAACCAGCCAATTCGGGAAAGAAGCAGTTTTGAAACCATCTTCTCCTTTGACCTCCTGTCAAAGCCTCTCTGCAATGCTGCGGCTGGTACCAGTGGATTTGTGAGTTCCTCATTGTGCCATATTTCCCTATTCTTCCTTTTCTTGTCTCTTTTGAACTGTTTTATGGTGGTTAGAAAGCCACTTCTTGGTGCATTACTGACACCAACTGGAGTGGAGTGGAACTGGGACTGGAACTCTAAATGCTATTTGTGTAAATGTGAAAACATAATAAATAATAATAATGCAGAAATGTTCTGTTGACCAGAGGGCTGTTCCACGAAGCAAGCTTATCCCAAAAGTCAGGCTCAATCTGAAAATCCCATCTTAATATCCTCAACATTGGTTCCACGAATGAGGCTAACCTGAAGCCCTTCTCATTCACCATGGTAACACATTCTTCTGGACAAGCATGCTCTGTGGCAGGCTAGCAGTGAGGCTTGTTGAAGCTTGGGGAAAATGACTGGACTAAGCATGTGATGTCACATGTTACACGTCCCCTTTAGCATCACTGCCTCCTTTGGCCCACAACTGTTGCAGCAGCTTCAGCTTTATTTTTGGTGGCTAAATTATTAATAAATGTAGATTTAATCTTTGAAAATTGAGTTCTCATTGGATTTACGTCTCATCATTTTGAGGAATATTGTTGTATTTAATTTTCACTTGCTGAGGACGGTTTTATTCCACTGATATAGCTCCTGATGTCAGCATTATTAAAAGTATAATTATAAATGAGCTTTTGTCTGGGATGGACCCATATAATCAACATGCTTTCCTCTTTATGTAAAAATAGCCTTAAAGTAACATAATACATATGTTTACTGTAGAATCAGAGGCAAACTTAGAGTAACACAAGCAAGCTGTACAGAGTTCTGGAGCTTTCTTCTCGTGTTCACCAAAGTGCACCACATTTTTTCTGCAACTCAATGTTGGCAAAACACAAGAGCTGGTTATTGATTTTAGAAAGAAAAAACAAACATTATCTCCAGTGGTCATCAAAGGCCAACCTGTTGAAATTGTGGAGACATATAAATATCTAGGGGTGTACCTCGACGATAAGTTAAACTGGAAAAGGAACAGTCATGCTGTTGTTCAAAAGGCCCAGTCCAGATTGTTTTTTCTTAGGAAGCTAAGATCCTTTGATATAAGTAGGAGGCTCTTGAATGTGTTTTATCAGGGGACTATGGCCAGTGTGTTGTTTTATGCTGTGTTGTGTTGGGAGAGGAGCCTCACTGCTGAGGACAAAAACAGGATCAACAAAATGATCAAGAAATCTGGCTCAGTGGTTGGGCAACACTTGGACTCATTTGACATGATCATCGACAAAAGGATGAAGAGGAAACTTAAGACAGTTATGTCTCTGGAGGATCACCCCCTTCACCAGATTTTTAAGGATCTTGGGAGCTCTTTTAGTGGGCGAATGTTAATGCCCCGGTGTTCCACTGAACGTTTTAGGATCTCTTTTATTCCAGCTGCAGTGCGTTTTTACAATGAGCATTTGGTATGATTGTATATTTGATATTTTTATCATTATTGTGGCTTGTAGCAGTGTCCAGTGAATGTTTTGTTGTGTGGATGTGCATGTTGTTTTTACTTGTCCAGGGCAATTCAATTTCCCCCTTGGGGATTAATAAAGACAACCTTGAACCTTGAACCTTGAGAACGCTGGACCCCATCACAAAGTGGTGGCGACATTTGTGTGTGCCTGGAAGCTCCAGTAGATCTACAGTGGGGCAAAAAAGTTTTTAGTCAGCCACCGATTGTGCAAGTTCTCCCACTTAAAATGATGACAGAGGTCAGTAATTTTCATCATAGGTACACTTCAACTGTGAGAGACAGAATGTGAAAAAAAATCCATGAATTCACATGACAGGATTTTTAAAGAATTTATTTGTAAATCAGGGTGGAAAATAAGTATTTGGTCACTTCAAACAAGGAAAATCTCTGGCTCTCACAGACCTGTAACGTCTTCTTTAAGAAGCTCATTACCTGTATTAATGGCACCTGTTTGAACTCATTATCTGTATAAAAGACACCTGTCCACAGCCTCAAACAGTCAGACTCCAAACTCCACTATGGCCAAGACCAAAGAGCTTTCAAAGGACACCAGGAAAAGAATTGTAGACCTGCACCAGACTGGGAAGAGTGAATCTACAATAGGTAAGCAGCTTGGTGTGAAAAAATCAACTGTGGGAGCAATTATCAGAAAAGACCACTGATAATCTCCCTCGATCTGGGGCTCCATGCAAGATCTCATCCCGTGGGGTCAAAATGATCATGAGAATGGTGAGCAAGAATCCCAGAAGCACACGGGGGGACCTGGTGAATGACCTGAAGAGAGCTGGGACCACAGTAACAAAGGTCACCATCAGTAACACACTACAACGGCAGGGAATCAAATCCTGCAGTGCCAGACGTGTTCCGCTGCTGAAGCCAGTGCATGTCCAGGCCCGTCTGAAGTTTGCCAGAGAGCACATGGATGATACAGCAGAGGATTGGGAGAATGTCATGTGGTCAGATGAAACCAAAGTAGAACTTTTTGGTATAAACACAACTCGTCGTGTTTGGAGGAAGAAGAATACTGAGTTGCATCCCAAGAACACCATACCTACTGTGAAGCATGGGGGTGGGAACATCATGCTTTGGGGCTGTTTTTCTGCTATGGGGACAGGACGACTGATCCGTGTTAGGGACAGAATGAATGGGGCCATGTATCGTGAGATTCTGAGCCAAAACCTCCTTCCATCAGTGAGAGCTTTGAAGATGAAACGTGGCTGGGTCTTCCAACACGACAATGATCCCAAACACACCGCCCGGGCAACAAAGGAGTGGCTCCGTAAGAAGCATTTCAAAGTCCTGGAGTGGCCTAGCCAGTCTCCAGACCTCAACCCCATAGAAAATCTGTGGAGGGAGTTGAAAGTCCGTGTTGCTCGGCGACAGCCCCAAAACATCACTGCTCTCGAGAAGATCTGCATGGAGGAATGGGCCAAAATACCAGCTACTGTGTGTGCAAACCTGGTAAAGACCTATAGTAATCGTTTGACCTCTGTTATTGCCAACAAAGGTTATGTTACAAAGTATTGAGTTGAATTTTTGTTATTGACCAAATACTTATTTTCCACCCAGATTCACAAATAAATTCTTTAAAAATCCTGCCATGTGAATTCATGGATTTTTTTCACATTCTGTCTCTCACAGTTGAAGTGTACCTATGATGAAAATTACTGACCTCTGTCATCATTTTAAGTGGGAGAACTTGCACAATCGGTGGCTGACTAAATACATTTTTGCCCCACTGTACATGTTTATGAGCTGTATTGGCATCACTCAGCATCTGCTACAGCAGCTGGATGTCTGACAATATTTTTAAATTAATCTGCCTCTCTGAAATATTACACACACAGATGTTTTATATAATTCTGATTACTTGTGGGCTTAATGTGGGCTATAGGCTGGCAGCACTAGCATGCCACTGCAAATTTAGCTCTAGAAACAATGCTTATGTTCAGATCCAGAACTGAAACCAGGTTAGTTGGATCCATGAAAGGCTGGTTTGACGTGGGATTTAGAACATTCTATAAACAGGCTGCCAGATTATATTTAAAGAGCAAGTCACCCCCAAATCAACTTTTCTTTGCTGATAAACTATATTAACGAGTGTCTAATTGTGCTGTAGACACGTGTAGTCAATAATTTGGCACTTTAGTGCATCTTATTTAAAATGTAAATATTATGACTAAAACCGTCAGTGTTGGGCAGCTAAAAACTCAGCATTACATTTGAATTTAAATCTACCACCACTATTGGCAAGAGGAACACTATGGCATTAGCTGGTACATTATGATGTCACAATGTCGTTGTGAGCCTGTCATGTGTGTGCATTTGCCAGCAGCTCCACCCTCTTGGTCTGCCAGGCAGCAGCATTTGTTGCATTTTTCAAACAGGAAGTGGGAGTGGAGTGGAGTAAGACTCTGCTGGGGGGGGGGGGGGGCTTGCTCTTTAAAAGGTAAAAATAAATGGATGTACTTAATTAATCTCAGTGGATCCAGAAGGAAAATCACAAAAACAGAGCAGTGAGATTTAAAGCAAACATTACTGAAACTGTGGTAACAAAAAAGAGCCAGCATTCATCGCAGCTTGATGTGACAGGTGTTGCTGTAGCGAGTGTAAGAACCAGTGGAAACATGAATTTCCTGAATTGTTGCTTTGACAGCTGATCCAGTGTGAAGAGGACGTTCTGGATTATACCGGCTTGTTCAGCATGCTTTTCTCATACTTTCTCATGTTTGTCCAACCTGCAGCCGAAACAGCCATCATATCCAGAAGTGTTGTCTTCAAACTGAGGCTATTATTTTTATTTGATGTGGTCCAGCTAAATGTTCAAGACAATGAGAATTGGTCCCTCTGTGTGCTTCTAGCTGACCGAATGGCTTGTAAAGCAGTGTTTGTGGTTTTTTCTTTTTTAAATGAAGTTTTATTTTATCATCCTAGACCTTTTCTGCCCTAAACTTCGAACACATTCCCTTTGTTCTTTGGAGTTTTTGCACACCTAAACAGGGAACGCTAACTTCCTAGGATGACTGTGATTTTATGCACATGAATTTGTCTTCTCATTTGTGAGAAAGTGTCTACTTTTGAGGACAGGCTGCCTGAGGAGCTAATGCAGCTTAGACTACAAACCCAACACATCACAGTTTTCTGGGGGATGCTTTTTAACAAAAACTCCTCCAGCCAGCAGAGAGCAACACACAAGTTCAACAGAAAGGGAAGGAAAGAGAACAAAATACCCAGACATAAAAGGGAGGTTTTAAACTTGAACTCCTGATTATTTATTTATTTATTTTTTGCCTTTGCTCCCTAAAAAATGTCCACAGCTTATCCTCATTCTCCCACTTATTCAGTATGTTATTTCCGATTTACATTTATCCTCCATTTCATCTTCCGTTGTCTTCTCCAGGTCTTTGTAAAGGTCGTTTCTGGATCACACCTGACCCATACCACAATGAAGACAACATTCAGATCGGCAGGGAAGTGAAGATCAGCTGTCAGGTAGAAGCCACGCCTCCAGAGGAGCTGCAGTTCAGCTGGTTGAAAAATGGCAGGCCCCTGAGGAGCTCTGAGAGAATGATCATCACTCACACCGACACTAGTGTCTCACCAGGAACCACTAACCTGGACATCATTGATCTAAAGTTCACGGACTTTGGCACCTACACCTGTGTGGCATCCCTGAGGAACGGGGGAATCCCAGAGATCAGCATTGACGTCAATATATCAACCACCACAGGTGTTGCATTGGAGGACATTTTATTTATTGATTGATAAGCTATTAAAATATAAGCTCTATTATTTTGAATGTGATTTTAGCAGAACTTAACACTTTGCATTTTGATTATTTCTCCCTGAAAACCCCGTCCCGCCTCTCTCATTGTAGTTCCCCCTGAGCTCACCATCCCAAAGGGCCAATCTCAGCTCATCGTTCAGGAGGGGGACACCATAGATCTGCAGTGTCTGGTGTCAGGAAAACCCAAACCCATCATTCTGTGGTCCCGTGTGGAGGAGAGTGGAGCGGCAGCGGCAGCAGCAGCAGCTTTGATGCCAGACGGCTCGGCTCAGATGGAGAGCTACGACGGCATTCTGAGGATCAGCAACGTGACGAGAGAGATGAGTGGGACTTACCGCTGCCAAACCAGCCAGTACAATGGCTTCAACGTCAAACCCAGAGAGGCCCTGATCCAGCTGGTAGTGCAATGTGAGAACCACATCAGAAATGACACTGCCATTCAGATTATTATTTTTTTTCCAGATCAAAGCTGTTTTTTAATCCTTTTTATTCCTGGGTCAAGTCGACTTTGATTCAGTTTTTTCAGTTCTGGGTCAGGCTGGAAAACTACAGTTTCCTGGCGAAATATTTTATTTTTTCAAGTTTAGTTAAGTGGATTTATCATCTCATTAGAGCAGTAGATGCACAAGGCTCTGAAAGTCCCAGTCCAGTCCAGGATCCCTGGTCCAGTCCAGACCTGGTGATCCAACCATTTTCTTCTCACCCGACAAATGGGAAGATATTTTGAAGTGGTTATAGATCAAAAGTTCTCCAGACTTTCTGAAGGAGTTTCTCTCTGAACTTTGGGAGATGTTCACTATATTTCGGTCCTGGTACCAGAACAAGTTCAGATGAATGTTTACATTACATTTTCAGCCAATCGAACCTTCACTCTGAACCTTTACCTGGACTCACAGATGGTGATTATCTTGATGAGAAACATGAAGAACGTGTTTGTTTTTTATGACAGGATGCTAAATTGTGAGATGACTCGTGTAATCTGATCGTGATGATTTAGTCTTTTATAGGTTTTGTTTCTTAAATGAACTCCAGGCAGTTTGAGCAAATAAAATCTGAGGACTGATTTTATATCTCAGACTAAACACTTTCTGCTTGGTTCTGGTCTGTCCAGAACCATTTTGTGGATTAGGTCTGAACAACTGTGTGTTTCCTCTCTGTGTGTCAGTCCCTCCCACCATCGAGCCGGCTTACACCGAGGTCCGTCAAGCTCTGGGCCGAGCGTTCAGCCTCACCTGTAGCTTACTGCAGGCCAACCCGGCTCGTGTCCTCCAGTATGAGTGGAAGCTGGGCTCTCGCCTGCTGACTGTCGGCCAGTTCACTGACCAAACACACGACACCACCTACCAAGTCAAATCCCTGAACCGTGAGGGGTATGGTGAATACACCTGTGATATCACTAATGAGGCTGGGGCAGGACGCTGCACCTTCCTGGTTACAGGTGAGATGGTTTAAATGAGATATTTGCTCATTTTGATTTGCTTTAGACTTTATTGTAACATGTGAGCTCAAAGCAGGAAGTCCTGAAACTGGTCTGGTACCGACCTGAAGCTGGGATGGAGCTCATGGAGGAGCTCAGAGCGAACAGATGAAAAGCTTGGTCAGAACCTCCAACCTTCTGACCTTTATGTCACAGCTTTCCATGTTACTGAAACTTGAGAACTCCATTTAAAGCGCCTGAAATCAACAGACTCTCGTGATTATCTCAGAGCCGTGGTGCCATGGTGAACAGGAGGAAAGGTTGTTAGGTCACCAGACAATGCTGTTAGTAAGAGATCAAGCACTGATTGAGCTCTTGGTTCTGATGTATGAATTCAGGATCAAACTACCAACATTCTACATTGATAGTTTACAGGACTGCTATCTCTGTTTCTGTTTTGCCTGACCCTTGACCTCTGTGCCCTCCCTAGGAAAAGCCTATTTTCCAGAGTTTTACTATGATACCTACAGCGCTCTGTGGCAGAACCGCCCGCAGGTCTACGGCTTCAAGCTTCAGTGGACCCAGATGGAGCCCAACGCTGTGGATCGAATTCTGGCTTACAGACTCGGTATCAGGCAGGTCAGTACAGAACACATCTGACCAAAGACACCCAGACCACTGGGTCAGAACCAACAGACAACGGTTGATTGTTCTGATAAAACATTATTAATCTTTATGCGTTTTAAATTGTAAAGATGAAATTCTGGGAGTTCTACTCTCCTGGAGCTTCCAGCTCTGACTCAAGATTTTTCTGAGCTTCTAAAACCTTCAAACACCAAATGTTCAGCAGATCTTGATTATTAGGGTTGTTTTTATCTTTTCATTTTTGTAGTTTTAAATCTATTTCCATTTCTAAGGGAGAGGATTTGTTTGACCAAAAAGAAAAAGTTGTTTCTATGAGATAAAAAACTTATGTTTTTTTCTTTCTGACAGCAGAAACTCGGCTGACCGTGAGTCTTTTCTCATCACATTAGTGTCACAAACCTGACTCCAAGCTCACGATTTCTTCTTCAGTCCTCATATTGTTATAAACACGGTGTTAATGAGCTGTAACCCTCTGAAGCAGGTAGCTGGAGGATTACAGGTGTGAACACTGATGAGCTACTTTAATGTAAATTAAGTTTCTGTGTCATGATGGTGGTTCCATTAGAGTTTATGGACGTCTCCATATTGATTTGAACAATGGCCTGAGGGTGTTTAGTCTGACATCCTTTAACCGCAAGAAAACCAAATTTAGAAAATAACTATAAAGCATTTCCCATCATTTACAGGGTTTTTAACTTTATTTTAATGTTTTAAATTTACACATGTGTAGGTATATGTTGAAGCTCCAGAAAGAAACAGGCAGTGAAATGCTCAGGTCAGAAAATGCCACGCAGACCTACATCACTCTGTAAATTAGCATTCATGGACTCATCCATCTAGGCTCATGACGAGAAGGCTGTTGTTAATTTAGCGTCCAGGAGTGAGCAGAACACGTCTTGGCTAGTGGAAGCTAAACGTTAGTAACTCCACAACACGGCAAAACTTTGCCAGGCTTCTGTTATTTGTGGAGATAAATGTAATTGTTGCAGTGTGAATGGAGGCGTTGGAAGAGTATTGATGCTATAAGCCAATCAGAGGCGAGATGTGTGAATATCATGAATATTAAGGAATAAGAATCCAAATCCTGCTGTTTTCTGCCCCCACACCTCTGGCTAACTCCTGCTTTCTGAAACAGGAGCGTCAACGTGTCCACTAATACTAGAGTGCACTGCAGATTTATTGAAATAATGATTGTAGTTTCTCCTTGAGGAGAAGGAAATCAAAAGTTTTTTGGCATTAAAGTGGAATGAGATCTTATGTTGAGTTTCAATAGCTCCAATTGTCAGAAGATGATGCGAAAAAGTAGGAAGCCAAGAATGAAACCCTGTGGCACCCCACATGACAGAGGAGCAGTGGAGGACGGCTTCAACTTTAAATATGACAGAGAAAGATCTGGATGCCAAGTAGGAAGTTGATTATTTAAGCGCTGAGAAACAAATGGTGGTTCTGATGAAACAGAACAACATTGTGGCCAAAGTAATCAAAGGCTGCAGTGAGGTATAGCAACTCCAAAAACAGCCGCGCACCAGCTGCTGATAGACAGGTGAATATCATTACAAATCTTCAGTAAGACAGTCGCTTTAGTATGTCATGGTCTAAAACCATGTAACAAAAACAGCATTAGCTTCTACAAATGGCTGCAGTTGAGCAAGAACAATTTTTCTAAAAATTTGGAAAGAGTGAGAATTAGGTCTAAAGTTAGCCAGGACAGAGGGGAACGGGTTTTTGTGTGATGTCACATGAATCACGGTGGGATTAGAAAGACTGAAGCTGATTTCAGTTGAAAGCATTCACTCAGACTAGCCATTGGCTCATATATCCTGAAAGACATGAACTGTATTTCTCTGAACAAAAGCTCTTCAGGAAGATGAAATGAAAGGTTTATTTGAAACTTTTACATTTATTTGGTTGCAAGGTCGTAGATCCTTGCTTTTCTTGTTTGGAGGCCAGACAGATGTAATATGTCTCTGGATGTGTGACGTAGTTTGTTTCTGAAAATTAAAAGTTAATTTCTGGTCATTTTTATGTAATTACTTGAACTTTGGGTACATTACAAAATTTTGTGTGTGTGTGTGTGTGTGCGTGCGTGTGTGTGTGTGTGTGTGTGTGTCAGATGGGTCAGTCTCGCTGGTGGGAGCAGGAGATCCCAATGGAAGGAGCCATCCAGAGGGGCCAGCTGCTGACCTATAACCTGACAGAGCTGATCAAACCAGAGTCCTACCTGGTCCGCCTCACTCCTATCACGCGATTTGGCGAGGGGGACTCCGCAGAACGCATCATCACCTACAGCGGTGAGTTGTTCTCCTAAAGAACTCACAAAGATGCTGTAAAAATATAGAATTAACGTTTGTTCCAGTTTTAATTTGTTTTCACTTTGTTTGGAAAAAAAAGGAGAATCAACGTTCTCTGATCTGTTACTTTTCTTTTATCTTTGCACCAAGTTATTGATTTAATATGTTACTTGATATTTTAGAAAGATTTTCATAGATTTGTTTTAAAATAAATTTCTTTTTTTTAAGTAAATAATATAAACTTGAATTTAGGAGGATTTTTCATCACTAAATGTTTGCAGACATTTTAGAGGAAACACGTTAACAAGTTGCTTTTATTACAGCTGATTCTGTGGCGTTTTTCCTCACAAGCTTTGTTGTTTTCCCAGATTCCTGCATAAAACCTGCTAATATCAATTAAAGTTGTATCAAACTGACGCTGTTTTCATTTTCTTCAAGATAATAGAGACAGTAGATAAAGGCTGAACGTTTATGCTGACTCAACTTTATGTGTTTCATAGAGTAAAAAAAGACACCTGAAGTTGTTTTTGTACATTTCCTCCTTAAAACTCCTGAATTCATTCTTGCAGCCTGGACATATCAGTAGCTCACTTTCCTTTAATGAGTCCCCGAGTTTGCCTGCTTGGTGGTGCAGTTGGTAGTGCTGTTACCTCGCAGGGAGAAGCTCACTGGTTTTCAAATCCCAGCTGCAGCCTTTCAGCATGTAGTTGGCATGTTCTCCCCATGCATGTGTGTTTCCCCCAGCTTCCTCCAGCAGACCAAAAATATACATGTCAGGTTAATCAGCTACCTGAAATTGTCCCCAGGTGATGGACTGGACAGCTGACCAGGGTGTCCCTTGCCAGTCTCCAGCTCCCTGACACCCATTTGGGGAGTAATCAGGATTTAAATATACAGGTCCTCCTCAAAAAATTAGCATATTGTGATAAAGTTCATTATTCTCTGTAATGTATGTCAATGATGGCCTTCTGGACAGCAGTCAGGTCAGCAGTCTTACCCTTGATTGCAGTTTTGAGTAATGAACCAGGCTGGGAGTTTTTGAAGCCTCAGGAATCTTTTGCAGGTGTTTAGAGTTAATTAGTTGATTCAGATGATTAGGTTAATAGCTCATTTAGAGAACCTTTTCATGATATGCTAATTTTTTGAGACAGGAATTTTGGGTTTTCATGAGCTTTATGACATGGTCTGTGTCAGCGAGGACCCGTACTCATAAGCATCCTTCCTGTGGATTCGGACACACCCTGCGTCTCCCTCATGTGTCTCCTTGTGTGCTCCATTCCCCCCTAAGAATCCCCCATATGTGTCTTTTTGTGTTCCTCATGTGTCCCCTGGTCTTCAGCCCTCCAGATATTCCCTCCCAGGTCCTGTGTTCCTTCAATCTCCCCCAGTCACCCCTCTGCAGTTTTTTATAGGTTCAGCTTCTCATTTTATTAGTCTCTTTAGTGTGTTTTTTCCACAGGTTTTTGTAGTTTCCCTTCCCCTTAGAATATTAGTTTATTTTGCTGCTCATCTTGTCTTTAGGTTTTTTACTCTTTACTCTTAGGTCATGTTAGTTTCCTCCCTGATTAGTTAATTGCTTTCACCTGGTTCTCTCTCCACACACCTGCAGCCCATCTGCCTCCCATCATGCCCCAATGTATATAAGCCCTGTCTTGTCTCAGTGTCTTGTCGGGGGAGAGTACAGCCGCTAGAGGAGGTCTTCGGCCGGGCTGGAAGATCGGTGTTAGTTTCTGAAGTGTTTGTAACGGCAGAGACATTTTGGCAGAGGACGGAGGGTCGGGGAGAGATGGCGAAAGCTGGAAGAGCAACAATAGCGGGTAGGCACAGCTGTGCTGTGACTGAGAAGGAGTGGAGCGATTTTGTAGAAAGTGGAAGTGATATGGAGGAACAGGTAAAGAAAAAGAGAGCATATCATGTTGAAGGAAGTGAAAGTAGAAAGCAAAGGAGAGTGGTGCATGGCGATGAGGACAGATGAAAGGAAGGAATTTAAAGTTATATTGAGATTTCGAGAGGGACATGGGGTTCAGGCTTTGAATCCAGTGAAGTTGACAACAATATTGAAAAATCAAGTAGGAGACATACAACTTGCTAAAGTATTGAGAGATGGAAACTTGCTAATACTATGTAAAAGCAAAGAGCAGAGTGAGAAAGCCTGCAAAATGAAGGAAGTGGGAAAATGTCAGGTAATTAGTGCTAGTAAGGTGGGAATGGGAGAGAGAGGAGCAAAAGGGGTGATTTGGGGGATACCGCTGGAATTGGCAGCAGAAGAAATCAAAGCTAATACAAAAGGTGCTAAGATAAAAGAGGCAAAACGACTCACAGTATTCAAAGCTGGAGTGAGAAGAGAGACGGGGAGCATCCTATTGGAATTTGAGGGAGAGAAAATCTACCTGCAAAAGTGGCACTAGGGTACATAGCATACTCGGTGAGAGAATATATACCTAAACCGTTAAGATGCTTTCAGTGTCAAAGGTTTGGACATCAGCAGTATGTAAAGGGAAAGTAAGATGTCCTAGATGCGGGGAGGATCATGAGTATGAAAACTGTGGAAGAAAGATGCACCCAAAGTGTTGTAGTTGTGGAGGAGAGCACAGTGTGACGTATGCTGGATGCCAGATAATGAAAAGGGAAATGCAAATTCAGCAAGTGAGAGTTAAAAACAAGACATCATATGCTGAAGCTGTGAACATGGCAACTCGAAGACCAGAGGATAGTAATGAAGGAATAAGGGAAGAATCTACCAATAGGAGGGTTGGAGAAGAGGAAGGAAAAGTATTGGTGGATCTAAAGAAACTTGTTACATTCATAGCTGGAGTGATAAATGCAACAATGGAGACCAAATCAAAAACTGAAAGAATTCAAATCATCGTAAAAGCAGCAGTGAACCACCTAGATATCAGCGATCTCACATGGGAGGAGGTACGAAGTACTCTAAGTACTCAAGCAAGTCAGGACTTGGGAAGTGCGGGGTGATAAATGTTGAGGGTTTTACAATGGAATGCACGGAGTTTAATAGCTAATGGACAGGAGTTTAAAAGTTTTATTGATAAGTCAGAATTTAAGCCTGATATTATATGTATTCAGGAATCATGGCTAAAAGTAGGGGTTGACTTTAAAATTCATCAGTATATGGAAGTTAGGTGTGATAGATCAGGGGGAGTAGGTGGCGGGTGTGTGACATTTATTAAAAATAATGTTCATTTTAGAACTGTAGAGATCGGAAAAGAAGAAGAATTTGTAATAGTGGAGGTGTTTACAAATCAGGGGAAAGTTATTATAATAAATTATTATAATCCATGCAAAAGATTAGAAGTTGAGGGAATAAGGTCAAGAGTTGGGATTACTGGCAGACACTTAATTGTGTGCGGTGATTTTAATGCACATAGTACTGTGTGGGGGGCTAGGAAAACTGATTTAAATGGGGAAATAATGGAACAAATTATGGAGGAGGCGAATCTGGTATGCATTAATGATGGGAGAGGAACTCGATTTGATGTTTATACAGGTAAAATGTCAGCATTAGACATAACTTTAGTATCTAGTGAGTTGGCAGGTAAAAGTGAATGGGACGTACTAGAAGATAGAATAGGAAGTGATCCTTGTTTAATTCTAACGAAACTTTTCGAGAAAAGAGGGATGATGATGGAAGGAAGGGAAGGGAGGTGGATTTTTAAAAGGGCTAAATGGGATAAGTTTAGAAATAATTGTGAAAAATGGAGGTCAAAAGTAGTGATATCAGATAAAGTTGAGGAAATAGAAGAAGTATTTAGAAGTGTGATAATTGAGGCTGCAGAGTTAGCGATACCAAAACCTAAAGGTAACACAAGGGAGAGGAAGCATGTGCCATGGTGGTCTGAAGTCTGTGAAAAAGCAATTAAAGCAAGAAATAAAAGCCTAAAAATACTGAGGAAAACACACAATATGGAAAATTTACTGAAATATAAAAAGTTGCAAGCAGAGGTGAGAAGAGTTGTTAAAAAAAACAAAAAGAGAAAGTTGGAGAAATTTTTGTGGAAAAATAGGGAGAACTACGCCAATAAGTAATGTTTGGGGAATGATAAGAAAAATGAAAGGAATAAGGAAAGAATGGAGTTATCAAGTGTTAAAAGTAGGAGATGAGTTAGCTGTAACTAATGAGGAAAAAGTAGAAGTACTTGTTAAAATATTAGTTAAACTCCATAGTACTGGTAATTTGTCAGAAGAAGGAAGAGAAAGGAGAGAAGTGAATAGAAGAAAAAATGAAATACAAGGGATCCCCTCAACACCTTGGCTGTGCCTAGAAATCCTGTCCATAAAAGTTATGAACAGAATCGATGACAAAGAGCAGCTTTAGTGGAGTCCAACTCTCACCGGAAATGAGCTCAACTTACTGCCAGCAATGCAGACCAAGCTCTGACACCGGTCATACAGGGACCTAACAGCCCAAATCAGAGGGCCTGGTACCCCATACTCCCGGAGTACCCCCACAGGGCCTCCTGAGGAACCCGGTTAAACACCTTCTCCAAATCCAAAAAACAGATGTAAATTGGTTGGTAGAACTCCCACACACCCTCCAGGACCCTCCTAAGGGTATGGAGCTGGCCCAGTGTTCCATGGCCAGGACGAAAACCGCATTACTCCTCCTGAATCCAAGGTTCGACAATCTGATGGACTCTTCTCTCTGAATAGATCTTACCAGGGAGGCTCCAGACTGTAATTCCACCCTGTGGTCCTCCTTTTTAAATAGGGGGACCACCACCCCAGTCTGTCAATCCAGTGGAACTGCCCCCAACGTCCACACAATACTGCAGAGCTGCATTAGCCAGCACAACCCCACAACATCCAGAGCCTTAAAGAACTCCGGGCGGATCCCACGCTCCCCTGGGGCCTTGCCACCGAGGAGTGTCCCCCTCTTCTTAAATTCAATAAAGTTGGTTTTGTTGAAGGAATGAAGTTGGTTTTAATCTGTTTGTTAGCGTTACAGCACCACATTCATTACACAGGACAACCAACCATGCACACTCACACCTAAGGACAATTTAGACAGACCAATCAATCTGACAGTCATGTTTTTGGACTGTGGGATGAAGCCGGAGTATCCTGAGAGAACCCACGCATGCACAGGGAGAACATGCAAACAACATCCAGAAAGACCCCAGGTTGGGACCTTCTTGCTGTGCAACAGCGCCACTGCGTCACTGTGCAGCCCGACTACGCCATCATCAAACTAAATGATAACATATTATTCTGGGAGGTAGTAAAAGAGTAAAAGAGAAACATATAAGGATCTGTAACATATAAAATGTGCCTGACTGGCTGACCCATGCTTACAGGTAAACATGAGAACTCTACAGGTGCACCTTTTAACATGTTCTTGCTCATGCTCCACCATCCCTATTTCTACAATAAATGTCCTGATGACACATAAATAGGGCATCATGCAAAATAAAAAATATTAGCTAAAGCAATTGCAATAAAAAATATAATGACTCAAATGAGTTAAAATAAGTTTGACAAATTTTTAACTGTTCCGTATTCGTGTCGCTGTTCTTCTCGGTCAGACGGGATCCTTCTGGTTCTGATTCTGGTCTGGTTTTGTTTCTTTACAGCTCCTGTTAACCCGCATCTCAGTAAGTACCTGCTCACCATCTATCAAACATGTCATCACGCTGAGCCCACTGATAGTAAATGTTTCATTGGGTCAGAGCGGGCTCTGCTGTGATGCTGTGTGAAATAAATCCAGAGTCTAAGAGTGGTTTTGTGGTTTAGGGGAATTCCAGTGTGGTTTTGAGGAAGAGGCAGTGTGTTTGTTCTCTCAAGACAAAGTTGATGAGTTTGACTGGATTCGTCACAGCGCCACCACAAAGAACTCCAAAAACACTGCAACCACCGGCCCCAGTGCCGATCGCACCGGCTCAAAGCAGGGTACACACACACACACACACACACACACACACTGCTCCAAAAGATTAAAGGAACCATTGTTTTAAACAATGAGCATCAAAGCTTGTTTTTACCATTTTGCTGACACTTTTGCTACTGATGTCGCCTTCGTCAGAGCGTCAACGATGTTGGTGGTGTCACCTCCGCCGCTGTTTATACAGAAGATTAACAGCAACGGAAGTGACGACATCGTTCTCTACTGCTCGCTGATAGCGACGGAGATGACATCACCAACATTGGTGATGTTCTAACGAAGGCGACAGCAGTAGCAGAGAAGAACCAAAAACAATGGAATCAAAACATCAACACAGCGTGAATGTAACAAAGGAACATTCTGAAAACACGACATCCGAACAGTAATAACATTCTTGCTGGATCTCCAAAAAAAACAATTCATTGGTCCAACCCCTTTCTACTGGCTCCCCACTAGTCACAGAATCTGATGGTAGCAGAATATGGTAGAACACCTGCTTGTGACACACACACACACACACACACACACACACACACGCACCAAACTGACCCCCACCCCACAGCCGAAGTAGACTTTCCGTGATGACCCAAGCAAGAATAAATGAGAAGTCCACTTTCACATGAGGATTTTTATATGAATGGTGGGATGGAAAATAATCTGTATGAAGTAGCACAAAAAGGCTGGTCTGAATAGAGTCCTCTACATAAGAAAGGCTGGTGACCTCTGACGTCTAACCTGGCTTGTTTTGTCTCTCAGGTTTCTACATGTACATCGAGGCATCAAGGATGAGGGTGGAGGGGGACAAGGCTCGTCTGCTGTCCCCCACCTTCAACATAAACTCCAAGAGCTTCTCCTCTTCATCCCCTGTCGGTAACAAGCCTTCCTACTGCTTCACCTTCTACTACCACATGTATGGAAAGCACATAGGTGAGAGTGCAGCAGAATGCTGAGTCAGCTACAACACATAGTGATGGCTTTTTGATCACAGTCTCTTTGTTCTGTAGGTGCGCTCAACATTTTTCTGCGCCAGAAGGGTCAGATTTTGACTGACTCTTTAGTCTGGAGTCTGTCAGGTAACCAAGGAAACCACTGGCGGCAGGCGAGGGTCAACATCCACCCAAGCACAGCCTTTCAGGTGAGCCCCGTGGTCCACAGAAGGAGCTTCACTCAGGCGCAGTTTAAAGCTATCAGGATGCGCCTGGAAAAAAATTACTGCTGGGACAGATCCAACTTTTAAATGAAGATGTTGACCAGGGGTCAGGGTTTTATAGCTACATGATCAGGGAAAACCCAGCATAGACCAGCATAGCTGGTTACCAGTATATGTTGTTTTGCTGCTGCAGGACCAGCATCACATCATTGTCCACCAGCTAAACCAGTACAAAACCACAACATATGCTGATAATGACCTATGCTGGTATAGCATTTTTAGGTTCTTTAACACAGGAAAATTTTATTTCTACCTTGCTGACAGTTTCGACCACTCCTGCGGTCTTCATCATAGCTAGCTGCTAATGGTGGCGTCACTTCCTTCTCTGTTTATCAGCGGATGGCAGAGGATGGCGTCTCCCTCTGTTGCCCACGCTCTCCTCACCGTTTACACAGTCCCGTGTGTGATCCAAGTGTAGACCCCATCGTCTCTGTTCGTGGATCTGACTATGCTGGTATATTCAGCAGAGACATTTTTCTAAAAATCCTTAGACGAAAACTAACGATCTCTATAACCTAAAATTGTAAATATGAAGAACAAGACCTGTTTTGTTTTCTTTATCGTAATCAAAAATAAAATTCCCTTTTACTTTTGGTTTTCAACTGAAAATGGATGGAACTGATGTGTTAAACTGTAAGTGACTGGGTTGTAATGAGATTTACTTTTTCCATGGTTTCCTAAATGATTTCAGAAATACTGGTGTCTCCTTGAACCTCCTTCAAACAACCACCCATCTTATTCTCCTGCTCATGGTCTTTGTTTTTGGGTCATGACATCAGGGCTTGTAATTATGGTCATGTGTATCAGGTAAACTTTTATTTTCTAACAGCTGAGAAACTCATCTTCCCGTGTCTTTTGGGCATAGATGGTGATGGAGGGAGTCCGAGGTTCTGGTATCGAAGGCGACATCGCTGTTGATGATGTCACCATAGAGGAGGGAAAATGTAAAGACCCTCCTCCTAATAGTGAGTTCATCAGTGTGGTTACAAACACATATGATGTTTAAAATGCTTCTTTCCAACTCAGCCAATGTGCTGAGTTTAATTACAGTTTATGTTTGATCTTTGAAGACTCTGGATTAACACGTCTCTGTCTCTGTCTCACACAGATCTAAGGTCCTTCGCTCCACCCTTATCTCTCTGTATATGGCAGCTCTGTGTCCCACTGAGGCTTGTTTTGACTGGCTGGCAGAGGTGACACTGTCACCACCCCGTATACTGGACACCGTGACCTTTGACTCCAGTGACCCCGCCCCTCTACGTCTGAGGGGTTTTGTTTTTCAGAATTCCACATATTTCTATGTTGTTCTTGTAAATATTAATAATATTCAGGATGTATCTGAGTTGTTTAAGAAGGTAACAAGGTAAAATACTTCAGGAAGAAACAACCAGTCACAACTAAGGAAAATCAACAGGAAGTCTTTAGGAAAATGACTTTTCAAAATAAAACAGAGGTTGGAATCACAGATAAAAGGACAAGATGAACTTTATTGTAAAGATTATTGTTTTTCTGTTGGTTACAATCTGTAAACTAAGACAAACTCAGGAGAAGTTAGGATCATTTCTGTTCATCAGATTGAGTTCAAATGCAAACCATAGCTGGAACAACTGGTTCTGCCATGAACTCTGCTGTTCTGTTTGTATTTAAGTGAATCAAAAACATAGCTCCATTTGGTAGAATTTACTTATTACCACATTTACCATAAACTGATTTGTGCAGTGGTGGACCATCAGGGCCAGCAAGGCCTTCTCTGCTGACATAAATATCAGAATCAGCCTATGTTTAAAAACTTAAATGATGTTTGTTCAAATTATACTAATTTATACTGAATAATATATTCTCTTTTTTTTTTTTTGGTAATGTTTCACTTGGCTGTGCCATGTCCCATGTGTCAGGATTATCAATGTTTCATCCAATCATATTTCAGAGTCTTTGTGTTGCCGGGGGAGTCTAATCTGCCCAGGGCCTTTACAATCAGCAGACTTGTCCTTCGTTAATTACTCTCAATAGCAACAGAATTTTTTTTTAACCAATCAGCTTTCAAATTCATCTCACTGAGCCAGCCAGCTGGCTCTCCATTATGACATCAGAAGTTTTATATACCCTGATTGAATGGTCAAAGAGCAGTTATTACCACAGTGTTTTTCTAGCAAAGCATGTCCAATGTGCTCACATTAATTCTTTAGATTTATTTTTTCTTTTAACAGCTGAACACTTGGTACTTCAATGCTAATGCTGATGCCAATTTTGAAAATGAAGGCTGTGATACCAGGCCTTGTCATATAGCATTTATGAATAATATTAGCTGCTTGTATGATTGTAACATCAAAGTGGCGAATTAAGTTGGTAAAACCACACAAGGCCCAGGTACCAAATATACGGCTCGCCCCTGGATTTATTATAACGAATGAATGGATGGATAGAAGATTGATTAATGATGTCTGATTCTTTTTAAAGACCAAGTTCACCTGTTGTTTTAACACATTTGCAATGGCCTCTAGTATAAATAAACGCCTTCTGAGTTAACCTTTGTGGAGAAAAGTCTTCCTGTTTCAGGAACTAGAAGTTAGCCAGAGGAGAGGTGAGCAGAAGACAGCAGGATTTGGAGTCTTATTTCCTGATATTCAGACATCTTGCCTCTGATTGGCTAACACCAATTAGCTTTATTTTCAATCTGTGGCTAATGCAGGAAATAGGGGTAGAAGACTATTTCCATGTTTAGCCTACATGTTAAACTCAGAGTGGCCGATCATATTAAAAAAAAGAAAGTACATGCAGTTCTCTGTGAACTTGGTTTTTAAAGTTAACAACTAAAGGATATTTGAAGGGAGTTTCTGTGGAAATGTTCAGACCAATGAAAATTTGACCAACTGGAGATGGCTCTCTAAACAGCAACAGTAGGAAGAAACAGAGAATTGTTCAGACTGAAACATTTGGACATCCTCCTCTGTTGAAGAAAAGTGAAACCCTGAGGTCCTGTTAACAGGAGTTGCCATGATTCTGAACAATCACAATAGGTAGTCTGACCTACTCATATGCTGGAAGCCCCGCCTCTTCACTTGCAATAGTCAGGTGTTTTTAACATCCAACAGCTGATCCCAGCCAAGTGTGCTGTCAGCATGAAGATCTGAACAAATGGCAGCAAGTTGAGAACTACAAAGATTAGTATGAGTAAACACCTTGAAACAGGATCTGAGATTATTCTATATTTTTTATCTGGAAAAATGTCCCATTGGTTTACATGGAGGAGGTGGGGCTTAAGATGTGTCCTGGAACCAACCAGCAGTGGGTGCTTGGACCTTCTCTGCTTCAGCATTAAGGCCATTTGAGTGTTTTACAATGGTTCTGACCAGAGTCCAGTGACAAGGTGCCTGTCATCTCAAAACAACTATGATGATATCAAATCATTTCATGTGAATGTTATTTTATAAATGTATCCCACTAGCATACATGTCACTGTTATTTACAAAGAGTTCTGAATACTTGCTGCAGACGTAACTGCTGAAACACTTCTGACTGGATTTTCATAATCTGCTGAAGAATCCAGAAATGCACGATTTAAGGCAGACATGGGGAACCCTGGTCCTCGAGGGCCAGTATCCTGCATGTCTTTGCTCCAACACTTCTGATTCAGTGGTTTATTCACCTGTTCAGCAGCTCATCAAGCACTGCAGAAGCCTGTTAATCACCTGCTGATTGAAATCAGGTGTGATGATGCAGGGTTGAAACTAAAATATGCTGGATAGTGGCCCTTGATGCACCAGGGTTCCCCACTCCTGTTTTAAGTAAACATGAAGGATGTGAACTAGCATTTATATAAAGTAATACAAATCTGTTGATATTTAAATTGTTTTAGGAATATTTATAACTGACTTTATTGTGAGTATTGGTCTTTTCAGAACTCTTCTCTGTTTCTCCAAACTGAGGTCAGTCACAGACCCATCTTCAGCAGGTGAGATATTATTACATGAAAATGACCCAAACCCCGTAGAACCAGTCATGGTAGAGTCTGCAGGAGTTTCAGCTGTGGTTTGTTTTGCTTTTTTGATGGAAATGTTTTTACCGTTAGGCTGGGTGGATATTATGGGATGTATTTCTATACCCTGAGCTTCCAACCACTGAACCACCTCTGATCCCCTCCAGTGAGGAACGCTTCATTGCGAAGTAGACTGTTGGTGTTCTGATCTGGAATTTTACTCCATCTCTTCAACTCCTACAGTTTGGATTTTGAGTCACCTGACTGCTGAGATGAATCAGAGGAGAAACTGTCTGAATGTTGACCCTAACCCCCCACCCCCACCCCACACCCAAAGGAACAGCAGTACTGTACTCCTTCATGGACAGATGGTGGGCTTTCTGGACCTTGAGTCTCACAGAAGCTTTTAAATATCTCTATTTTTAGATTATATGTTGACATCTGTTCAGATGTTGGAGGACCGTTTACCTTCTGCCATAAAATCAAGTGCCTTTACCTCAGAGTGGATCTTCTGAGGATTACTGTTGACACGGAACCAGTCGGACATTGTTCTGATCAGAAAGAAAAAATAAACAAACAAACAACCTGATGTGTGAGTGTGAAAAGACGGTTTTTAATTTTTTGTTTTGTGTTTGAGATGAACAAAAGCAGCACACACAGGGCATCAGAAATGTTTTGAAACAGAACCAACATAATTTAGTGAATCTATCATTAATTCATCAGGTAAACTAGTGGTAGCACATTCTATGTTAAATGGTAAATGGCCTGTATTTGATATAGTGCCTTCTAGAGTCCTGGAACCCCCCAAGGCACTTTTCAACACAATCAGTCATTCACCCATTCACACACACATTCACACGCTGGTGGGGATGAGCTACGATGTAGCCACAGCTGTCACGCTGCGAGCGCAGGAGGATCGGACCCAAAACGCAGAACACCACAGTACTCAAGGCTGGAGAGGTTGTTTAGAATAAAAATCCTTTCATTAGGAAAACCAAGACTGTAGGACTCTCAGCAAAAGAATATCTAAAGTTCTATAGACGAAAAACCAAAAGCTCACTCATGAGCCAGGAACTACAAATCTGTACAGGACAAAGCAACGCTGACATAAGACAATGAACCGACTAACACTGGAGACGCAGACAGGGTTATATACACAGGGCTGGGGTGAAAGGAGACGAGGAGCAGGTGCGCGGGGAATTGGGTACAGGTGAAACTAATAACAGAGAGGAGGAGCAGAACGAAGCAGGGGAGGAAACCAGACCTAGCTGGGGAAGGGAACACATACTAAAGGAGACTAAGGAACTGAAATAATAAACCTATATAAACTACAGTGGGGAGACCAAGAGAACCTGAGGAAAACCTGGAGGGAGCTGGGGACAAAAAGGGCTGGGGGCTACAAGGACACAGAGCGTGAGGGGACACCTGGAGGGGGCTGGGGACAAAAGTGACAGAGAACACGACAACAGCTGTCCTGGGGCACACTGACAGAGGCAAGGCTGCCGAGCACTGGCGCCACCGGTCCCTCCGACCACCACCAGCAGGCAAGGTGGGTTAAGTGTCTTGCCCAAAGACTCAATGACAGCGACAGACTGAGCGGGATTTGAACCTGCAACATTTCGATTACAGGGCGAGCACTTAACTACTGTGCCACTGTCCCGTTAAAGTGATAGTGTGCAGTTTCTATGGCGATAGGGGGCAGTACATGTATCTAAATCATTGCCAGCAAGTATTATTTTAGTGTTCAAATAACAACTTACCAACGGATGACCATTAGGGTCAAAAATTCCTGGGAGTGCAACCTCCAGCAACATAACAAGAACATCAAATTCCCTTTCATCACTGGCAATGAGTGAAGAGGTAAATGTGTAAAGCAACAATCTTTATTAATGGTGAAAGTTTTGTAACCATTTGTTACAAATCAGTAAATGCATTTTGTCCTCACAGGCTTTTGTAGAAGGAAACATGGCACCCAATATGGCGTCACCCAGAGACTTAGGCTGTGTCCGAATCCACGGGTAGGATGCTTGTGAGTACGGGTCCTCGCCGGTCTAGCAAGGCCTGGTCCTTGCAAGACCGCTAAAACCGGAAGTCAGCGGCTCTGAATTCGGACAGTACTAGCCTCGTTGTTATTCCCGCCCCCAGGTCAAGTTGCCTAGCTACCGTGACGGCGGCAAACAGGCTAACAAGCTAACAAGCTAGTAGCGACGTTGAAAATGGATCCACAGCAATATTTCATTTTATTTGTGGTTTTTGAGGAGCTGCGACGGCTCAATAAACGTCACCGGCCTTTGTATTTAAAGTTTAAAAATCATTTAGTCCTGTTATCTGCTAGAGTTACAAGTATTATACTCATGATCTCCTTTTTTGCATATATCTGAATGTTAGTGATGTGACAGCCGTCGATTGAGCCAGCCCAGCAAACCCTTTTGATGGACGATGCAGTGGTCAGTGAGATGACGCATCCAGAAGCACCCTCTGCAGACCACTCTGTCTGATGTTCCACTTGCCAACCAGAAACGTTCAGCCACGGATCTCGGTTCCTGCACTCCATCCACCTCGATCCATGTTTAGTAGATTTAGCAACACCACCAAAGACTCCCTGCTTTCCAAGTTTACTGTATATATTTTATTTTTATCTTTACTTTTATTCCTTACAGTGTTCCCTTACAATTTATTTACTATGTTGTTACTTGTTAAAAACTGAATAATAAAACTGTTAATGATCAAAAAAGAGTTATCAATTAATAGAAATTTTATTACATTTAAACAAATAACAAAAACATTCAAACACATATATAGAACCTGAACCAGAAGAAACTAAAAGAAAAAAAAACCCATTTCTCTGCCATCCTTTCCATCAATGCTAAAAATCTGTCCATCCTTCTTTCTCTCCTCTCCTCCGCTTCCCTCTGTTGTCTCATGTCCTCCCTGATCAGGTCAAGGAGCTCATCAGCCCTTCTCCTTTTTCTCCCTGATGAGGACTCCGGCTTCCTTCCACCACTCTCCCTGTCCTCTATCTCACCCACTGCTGCACTTGGCCCTGGAGTGTCCTCGGGAATGGAAGCAATAAGGACAGGAGGCATAGTGGAAGGCCTTTGTCCCAACACCTCGTCCATGGGGACAAACCAGGGCCAGGTTTCAGCAGTGGGCTTTCCGCTGACTCCCTCTCCTGACCCTGGATACTTGCAGTCCTACAGACAAAGGGAATTAGAATTACAAGGCTTTATTGTCATTTAACAACAGAGAACACTGTGGGCATAATGAAATTACAGATGCTCCTTAAAGGTACTGGTTCTGGATGAGAATAGAGAGGAATAGAAGAACAAAGTCAGATCATAAATCATAGTTGATAAAACATGCAATAAACAATATTTTAATTTATCAACCTGGGAGATGAAAATTGTGTTCTGTGTTTTTTTCCACCTAAAATGAAATTAAAAACATTAAATCTGTAATGTGGTTTCTTAAAAATTAACTTAAATAAACATCAAACTTAGTATTCGTTATTTTTGGCGTTCGTTACATGATTACATAAGATGCAAGCTCTTTTACGGTGAGTTTTTTCCTATTAGACTTTCAAGCAAGTTTACGGTGGGGTGTTAACCTTAAAACAAATGATGAGAAGCTTTATTCGCTAAATAAACACACACACACACACACGGGAGTTATGACGGGACCACCATACAAGCTCGTTCTCGCTGATTTCTGCTTAAAATGTACTTATACAAACGAAGAATGTCTATAAACAGAACCGCTTTCAGCTTAGTTTTCTACCGCTATTTTCTTTTAAAAAGCCTGCTGGGATCAAGCTAGTTTACGGTGGGTTTTTTCCTATTAAACATTCAAGATGGTTTTCGGTGGGGCATGTTTTAGCCTTAAATTACATGAAAAAAACAATTTGCGGTATTAGATCGTATATAAAACACAAACCAAAAGTGCCCAAACACGTATTTTATTTTTTGACCGCTATTTTTTTTTAACTAACTTACATTTTAAGCTGTACTGCTGTCCCGCTCCGTCCGCCGTTATTGCGAGTGTCGAGTCCAGCGGCCGGCGCGCAAAGCATGCTGGGATACCCTTACTCCTGTGAGGATCCATCAGACCCATCCTCGAAATGTGGGTGGAGCGCGAATGAGGATTCTTGGAATTCGGACAGTACTCGTCGCTGCGCTTTGACGTCATCGACCTCAAAATGCGCACTCACAAGCATCCTACCTCTGGATTCGGACACAGCCTTAGGGTGTGTCCGAATCCACAGGAAGGATGCTTATGAGTACGGGTCCTTGCCGGTCTAGCAAGGCCGGGTCCTTGAAGACCGCTAAAACCGGAAGTGTCAGGTTCGATGGGCTGAGCTGGAGTGGTTATGAGACCCAGGCGCGGAGAGAATGGTGGATGGAGACTGATATGTGGCAGCGTGGGAAGTTCTCTTCCCGTATGGTTCGTAGAGTTAGTGTCTTAGGTCTTAGAATGGCTTGGCGTCTATCGTTAGATGATGACTGAGTGCTGGCTCCGCTGTGACAGGTCCTTAAATAGGCTCAGCGGGATGACGTCACCGGGAAGCGTCGGTGACAGGCATGCTGGGAACTGGAGTGCAGCGCCAGCCCGGCCCGCAGAGGAGGTTAAGAGGAGGAGTTCATGACAGGACCCCCCCCCCCCCCCCCCCCCCCCCCCCGCGAGGGACGGCTCCAGAAGGCCCAGGGCGACGAGACCAGAAATCAGCCAACAGGGAAGGATCCAGAAACGAGCGGGCAGGCTCCCAGCTACGCTCCTCCGGACCGTAACCCTGCCAGTCCACCAAATACTGCCATCCACGGCCCCGGCGGCGGGCGTCCAGAATCTTGCGGACAGTGTAGACGGGGTCCCCATCGACATCTCGGGGCGTCGGCACCCGGGCCGGAGGCGGATGGAGAGGAGAAGACACCACCGGCTTGAGCTGTGAGACGTGGAATACCGGGTGCACCTTAAGAGTGGAAGGGAGGCGCAGCCGGTAAGCGACCGGACCGAGGACATCTCGGACTGGGAAGGGCCCCAAAAAGCGAGGCGACAGCTTCCTGGAACCAGCCAGAAACCGAAGGTTTGCGGTAGAGAGCCAGACCCGGTCACCAGGCTGGAACACAGGGCCGGGCCGGTGGCGGCGGCGGTGTTGTCAGGAGTACTCCGTATTAGCCCAGGTGATGGCGGCGCGAGCCCTGATCCAAGCGAGACGGCAGCGGCGGACCATATCCTGAGCCGCCGGAACCTCCACCTCCGGCACCTGATGGTCGAAAAGAGGGGGCTGGTATCCGTAGCAGGTCTCGAAGGGCGATAGACCCGTGGTGGAGGACGTCTGGAGGTTGTGAGAGAGCTCCGCCCATAGGAGGTAACGAGGCCAGGTGGACGGTTGAGACGAGGCGAAGCAGCGTAAGTAACGCCCAAGCTGCTGGTTTGCTCTCTCCGTCTGACCATTAGTCTGGGGATGATAGCCTGACGACAGACTGGCGGAAGCGCCCACCAACCGACAGAAAGCCTTCCAGAAACGTGAGATGAACTGAGGCCCTCTGTCAGACACCACGTCCTGGGGGAATCCGTGGAGCCTCACCACATGAT